CTGTGAGCTAGGCTGACGCCACGGCACTCACTCTAACTTGGGCAACAAAGTGAGACTCTGTCTCAAAAATAAATAAATAAATAAATAAAAAGACCATTTTTAACACTAGAAAAAAGAAGGTATTCAATAAAGTGGCTATCTTAGTACAGTATATACTTCAATATCGTGAAAATATTCCATAGTTATATTAAAAGAAAGAGAAAGTACAAACTCTTGGAGAAAAAAAGGAAGGGGGCCTTTGTTTTTGGAAGACAGGATGTCATTCTATTGCCCAGCCAGAGTGCAATGGCATCAAGGGAGGGGACTTTGATAAGTGGTGTTCAACCTTAAGGTTCACTCCTTCCTGGCGTCAACCTTCACCTTCCTGATGAAGAATCCAAACCCAGTATCTCCAGTCCTGTGCCTTTCTGGAATCCTGTAATTGTTACTGGACAACTCTTCTGACCTATTGCCACTCTAAGTGTAGGAATCAATTCCTCTCTCTCTCTTCCCTAACTTACCCTATTCCTCCTCACCCTTTCCCAAGCAGATTCATCATACCTTCTCCACTTTTATTGGTGGCTCAGTGACACTACTATTTTTCCAGTCTTCTGCTCTTGCTTTTCCACTCCATCATGCCCTATACCTGGTCTCTTTTAACAGGCTTTTTAAAGCCTTCCAAAGGCCCTGTCCCATCTCCAGCTGTAATGTAGTCCATAGCTTATATGAACTTAATAAACTATACAATGTGACGCAAATGTAAAATACCAATATTATTATTTTTTTTCTATTTTCTACATTGCTCAGGAAGAAAATATCACTATTATGCAAAGATTTTTGAAATCAACTCTGGCTTGGTTACTTTTATTAATAATAATCCAATTAGTATTTGTATAGGATTTTTAAAATAACATTTATTGTACTTTCTTCTAATTGCTAAAGTATAAATGTTCATTGTAGAAATTTTGGAAAATACAGAAAAGCACAGGCCAGATGCTATGGCTCACACCTGTAATCTCAGCACTCTGGGAGGCTGAGGCAGGAGGGTTGCTTGTGGTCAGGAGTTCGAGACCAGCCTGAGCAAGAGCAAGACCCTGTCTCTACTAAAAATGGAAAAATTAGCCAGGCATGGTAGTGAGCACCTGTAGTCCCAGCTACTCTGGAGGCTGAAGCAGGAGGATCACTTGAGCCCAGGAGTTTGAGGTTGTAGTGAGCTATGATGATGCCACTGCACTCTACTCAGGCCAACAGAGTGACTCTGTCTGAAAACACACACACACACACACACACACACACACACATACATACAAAGAATATAAAAACAACCCCTATTCTTAGGATTAACATTCTGATGTGTTTTAAACTATTCTCTATTCCATGTGTATGATTTATTTTAAAACTATAAAACAAATACTGTGATTAGACTGTACGTATATACGTCTTTGTAGCTTTTTCATTTAATATATTAATAAATAGTTTATTATGTCAGTAAATATTATTCTATGTCGTTTTAATGGTCGCATGGAATTCCATTATAACTATCCTATTATTTATTTCATCAACTCTTATTATAAATATTTTGGTTGTTTCCAGTTTTTCCTTCTAAACATTTAAGGCTTGGCCAAGTTCTGTAGCTTACACCTGCAATCCTAGCACTCTGGGAGGCCGAGGTGGGAGGATTGCTTGAGCTCAGGAGTTCAAGACTAGCCTGAGCAAGAGTGAGACCCCGTCTCTACTAAAAATAAAAAAAATAGCTGGATGTCGTGGCACATGCCTGTAGTCCCAGCAACTCGGGAGGCTGAAGCAGGAGGATTCTTTGAGCCCATGAGTTTGAAATTATAGTCAGCTACAATGATGCCACTGCCCTCTAACCAGGGAGACAGAGTAACACTCTATCACAAAAATAAATACATTTATAAAATAATAATATTTAAGGCTTCTGATATCTAGTGCTAAACTGGCCTCCAGAAAGGTTTTAACCATTTTTGGAAAAGGCACAACTTTTCAGTGCCTCTGTTCCCTTCTCTGTAAAATGGGAATAATAGTTTATTACTCTACATATATTATACATATTACTATGAGGAATCAATGAGATAATAAATGTGAAGCTGAGATGGAACTGGCAGGCACTGCTTTGGGAACTGCTTTGGCATTGCTTTAGACATTGCTTTGGGCACTGCTAACAGCATTACTTAATTCTGCCAACTGTTTAACTGAGTTAGGAAGTCTCAAAGCAAAGTTTCAAACTACCCTGATCAAAACAAGATGGAGACAGAACAAATTCCAACTGATTAGGACCAAGATGGATAAATTGACCACCTCTTGACCCTACAACTTCATTATACACTTCATTTCCATAAAAGTTTCTAAGAAAACCTGCCACTTTCATCATGAACCTGATGCCATGAAACTGTCTGTTTGACCATATTTAGTCAAAAGGAGGGTGTTACTCTAATTCTGGGAAAACATCACCACTTTCTAAGAAACAACATGAATGTTCCTCCCCTTGTTTAGCTTATAATTAAACTCTTGCCTAACTAGAGGAGCTAAAGGACCATCTGGCAGGTTCTCCTCTGCAGGGAGAACTAACCTCTACTCTGTGTGTGGAGATTTTCTATACTTTCTAAGTAAAACTTGCTTTTACTTTATACCGTTGGCTCGCTCCTGAATTCTTCCTTGAGCAAAGCCAAGGAAGGACCCAGTTGGACTTGAAATGATTCTAGCATTGGAAGTCACTTTGCTGTGTCAAAGCTACAAAAACAGTGCCTGGAATACAGTATGCCCAGAAGAGAGGTAGCTATTATAATATTTTTGTCAATCCTTGCTAATAAATGGAAAATGACAGCTATTTTAATTTATATCTCCTCAATAATCAGTGTAACTTGACTGTTTCTCTGCGCTTCAACTGGCTGTACTAGTGTCAAGATTCCCTCCTTCAAAGCACCGGCAAACAGGATCTCACTTGATCCTGATAAACTCGTGAATCAAGGTGACCATCACCAATCCCCACTCTTTTGAAGCTCAGAATTCCTATTCTGAGCAATTCCAATCCCAGGACTCAGACGACACCCTTCAAAGCCTAGCAGCTGGCCCGGAAAACATTCCCGACAAAAGCTTTGTGAGTCGCAAGTCCCCACTAACCGCGCCCCCGCGCCCCCAACAGCGCCAGGCAGCCTCCGGCCCCGCCCCCAGCGCGGGCTTTCCAGACAGGCTCTCTGCGCACGCGCGGCCGCGCCTGCGGCGGAAGCCCGAAGGCGCGCGGCCATCTGCTCCTCCCTCCGCCCCGCCCAGTCCGAGGGGCGGCGGGCTCGGAACGCTAGGGCCGGCAGGGGAAGGCCAGCGTTGCCCCCGCGTGGGGCGTTGTCTGCGACGCGGCGGAAGCCCTAAAGTCCCGAGACCCGGTAGGCAAAGGCACCGGCTCCGGAGCCTCTCAGTCGGCGGCTCCGGCCCCCGCCGCCATTTTGCTCCGAGAGAGGGAGGCGGGCGCCGTCCCCCGGGCCGGGGCGGGGTCGGGACGCGGGGGGCGGGCCTGGGCGGGCTGTGGGGCCCCGCGGCAGGCCCCGGGAGCAGTGGCTGTGGTCGGAGTTGGGTGGGAAACCGTCAGGCCTGGCAATGGTGGGAACGCCCGAGTCCAAGGCCGGAGACTGGTGCAGGGCTTCGGCCGGCCTGTCCCTCTGGGCCTCTGTGTCCCGATTATGACAGTCCCACGCTGGGTACAGCACGCCGCGGTGTATGAGACGCTTTCTCTTGGGTCTTCTCATTTGATCCTTATACAGCAGTTCTTGGAGGGAAGCCAGGGAAGGGACTATGGCCCCATTTGGCAGACAGAAAACTACGGCTCAGAATGGGGAGGAGATTTGCCCAGGGACACCCAGCGAGGTGTGGCAATGGGACTCAGGTCCTACTCCACCAAATCCAGTGCTTTTGCGGCCAGGCCACTCTGCCTCACCTGGCAAAAGAAAGGGCTGAGCTAAGGGATTAGTTAGGTGAGTGACTGGCAGGTTGGGTTTTTGTTTTATTTTGTTTTTGAGACAGAGTCTCACTTTGTTGCCCAGGCTACGGAGTTGGCTTGCGGTCAGCTAGCTCACAGCAACCTCAACTCCTGGGGCTCAAACAGCAATCTGCTGCTCAGCCTCCCCTAGTCAGCTGGACTACTAGGCATGTGCCACATGCCGGGTAATTTTTTCTATATACTTTTAAGTTGGCCATATTTCTTTTTTTTTTTTTTTTTTCTTCTATCTATATAGAGACGGGTCTACTCTTGCTGGTGGTTACTCTGACTTGAGCAGTCACCGCTTGGCCTCCCAGAGTGTAGGTTACAGTGAGCACGGCGGGCTCAGGTTGGGGTTTTTTTTCTTTTGTTTGTTTGTTTTTTTTTTTATTTATTTTTTTCTTATTATTTATTTAGTTGGCAATTAATTATCTTTCTATTATTATAGAGCGGGGTCTCAACTCTTGCTCAGGGCTGGTTTCGAACTCCTGACTGAGCATCAGCGCCCACGTGTCCAAAGTGTGGATTACAGGCGTGAGCCCACCGCGCCCGGGTCACTAGTTGTTTTTAATTCATGTCTGTTTGAAGATCTGACTTTTTCTCTATTATCCAGGTCAACTTGACTAAGAAGAATCCAGAAGCCAAGCCATGGATCCACCTTCACGTAAAGAAAAACCCAAAGTTAAGGAACCTGTCAACAGAGTTGAGAAGGCTAAGCAGAAATCAGCCCAGCAGGAGCTGAAGCAAAGGCAAAGAGCAGAGGTGAGATTGAGGTGGAGGCTCTGTGTGTAGTCCACTGGACATGCTGCTGCAGCAGACGAATAGCAGAAAGGAGAACTGTGATGGGGAGCCCTACTGCCTCCAGGCAAGACAGGTTTCTCCCAGGTTTAGAGAGATCATTGAGGTTGGATGTAGTGGCAGCCCAGAATCACATGCAAGTGTAAGTGGTCAGCCCAGATCCTGCCAGGAGCCGCTTGTGCCAGGCCTCCAGATGACTCTTGGCGCAGTGCTTTTGTGGTAGGGACCTGAGAGAAGGAAGAAAGGAGAAAAGCGATATGTAAGGGGAGGGGGGTTCAGAATGAGAAAGAGAGCAAGTGTCAGACACCCCTTCTGGAGCTGGTGCAGAAAATAGCCACTCATAACCATGTGAAGTCCAAGTTTTGGTTTTTGTTGTTGTTGTTAGCCTAGGCATTAAAAGGACAAGGTCCAAGTTTTAAACCACCAATGTGTTCTTTGTTCTCTCAACACATAAAATCAATTGAGAATAAAAAGCTTTCAACTTCCCATTGCCAATGTTGAACCACATCCACACATAAACATTTTATAGTATTAATATCAGGGAAAAGTTTGCTATTTATTGGTTGTTGAGAAAATTTAAAAATACAGAAAACTGGACTGTTAACAACAAACACCTGGCTACTCAGCACCCCTGATTGGTAGTGGTTAGCATTTTGTCATATTTGCCTGGAGCCTTTTTAAACTAGGATAATAGAAGTACATATCATTTTTAAGTCCTTTTGTCCCTTTCCTGTTTATAGCCTTTTTCGCACCCATGGCAACTACTTTTTACACTCAAATATATTAATAAATATCCTTGAACAACATACGATATTCTTTTGTGTTCTAAATTTTTATATTAGTAAGGTTCCATTTTATTTTGCATTTTGTTACATTATGATTTTAGAACCATTATATTAATAATAAGATTCTAGACTGGGCGGGGTGCTCACACCTGTAATCCTAGCCTCTGGGAGGCCAAGGTGGGCGGATTGCTGTGAGCTAGGCTGATGCCCTTGCACTCACTCTAGCCTGGGCAACAAAGCGAGACTCTGTCTCAAAAAAAAAAAAAGATTCTAGTTTATTGTCATTACTCTTTACAGTAGTATTTTTTATGAATCCATTTTATGTAAAATATATACCCATTCTTCCAGAGATGGACATTTAAATTATTTATAGGGTTTTTTTGCTATTTACAGACATTGCTCTACTGAAAAACTTTTATTATTATTATTATTTTTTGAAACAGTCTCGCTTTGTTGCCCAGGCTAGAGTGAGTGCCGTGGCATCAGCAGAGCTCACAGCAACCTCAAACTCCTGGGCTCAAGCAATCCTACTGCCTCAGCCTCCCAAGTAGCTGGGACTACAGGCATGTGCCACCACATGCTAATTTTTTCTATATATATTAGTTGGCCAGTTAATTTCTTTCTATTTATAGTAGAGATGGGGTCTCGCTCTTGCTCAGGCTGGTTTCAACTCCTGACCTTGAGCAATCCGCCCACTTCTGCCTCCCAGAGTGCTGGGATTACAGGCATGAGCCACTGGTACCCAGCCAATGAAAAACTTTTAGATGTCTCTTTTGGTACCTGTGCTAAAATTTCTGTAGGGTATTTAACTAGAAGAATTATTAGGTATGTTTTCAATGTTACTAGACATTGCCTAATTGCTTTCAAAAGGATTGTACAAGTTTGCACTCCTACTAGCAGTGTGAGAGTTGTCATTCCTCATTTCTTTTTTAATACTTGATATTGTCCATTTTTAATCTTTTTTGTTCATATGATCCATTCATTAAATAAACAGCTGCTACTACATGCCAGGTGCTGTTCCAGGAATTTGAGACACATGACAGAACAGAGCAGAGAGGAATCCCTGCTTTCATGGTGCTTGCATGCCATAGGGGAGAGGGAAGAGGCAGACAGGAAATGTAATAAGTAAATTTAATGGTATGTTTGAAGTTAACCTGTAAACTGAAATCTACCTTTGGATTAAGGCAGACCACCTGAGAACTGGTGACCTGGGTTCTAACAAGTGGTTCTGCCCTTTCCTTTACCTCCCCATCCCCGCCTGGATTCAGGCCCCCAGATGATTTTACTGCCTTGTGCTTTGATGAACAACTTGAGTGTTGCTGTAAGAAATAGCCATATGAAAATGGCCTCTCTAAACTGTAAGGATAGATGTTGAGGACATTGTTTATGTCCTTATTGACACCTTTCCTGTGAGGTTTCTACAGATTAAAATTTATTTGTCTGACTTCAAATCCCAGTTCTTCCCATGTGACTTTGGAAAAGATACTTAACTTCTCTGAACTTCATTCCTCCTTGGTAAAATAAGGACAATAATACCTATCTCACAAGACTGTTAAAAGGAATAGAAATATTATGTGCAAAGCACTTATCACAGTACCTGGCACAGAGAAAGCATTCAATAAACAGCAGTGATTATGATCAGCAATCATTGTGCTTCCAAGCAGTCGGCTGGCTTTTATGGTGTGGGCTCTCAATTGAACAGTTGCTGGTGTTCGTGTTGGCTTGCTGAAATGTGATGTTGGGTTTGCGTTCCAGCAGTAGCTGGCACTTGTGGAGCTCTTGAGATGTGCCAGGCCCAGGCCAAACTGCACATGCAGGACCACATGTAGTCCTCACCCCAGGGCTTCAAGCATGTATTAGTGTTACTCCCATTTAACCGTGGTATTAATAAATCCTTCCTAGAATAAGATAGGGATATATAAAATATATGAGGTAGGAGGTGTTATCCTCACAGTAAAGTGAGGTCCCTAGATTCCTGTAGTTAACGATGGACAGAACTGTAGTCTAAACAGATCTGACATTCATCTGCTGCTTTTTGCTCTGCCTTGCAGCTTACTTGCCATTTTCTTTATCTGTATAGCCTGGAATACAGTCTCCTACAATAGGGATGTGACAAGACCCTTGTTGGGAGGAAGGGAGGGAGCTTCCATTCAGTTGTGCAAAGATTCCACATCCCAGGAAGTTGGACGTGAAGGAGGAGGTGAATGGAAGCAGACAGCACATTTGGCAGTTGAAGCAGCATTTGACACTGCTAGAGACCCTTTCCTTCTCCACTGAAAGTCTTTAATTCCTTGGCTTGGACACTCTGACCCATTTTGAGTCTCTTCTTTCTCTGCATATTTTATTTCTTCTCCTACCACCTTGCCTCCTTGGTCTCAAGGCCTCTAAGAACCTATTTAATATTCCTCTCAGTCCCTGGCACAGAAGTGTGCAGATTAGAAATGCTCTTCAAATAGTTATTAATGAAGCAGAGGTTTTACATATATGTGTGTATATATATACACACCTTCACCTTTGGTGCCATCTTGTGAAAAGGTAGCATTATGTTTTTTGAGACTTGTTTGTGGTAGTGTTTGTAACTATTTTTATCACTGTGGGAATTCCATTTTCCTTAAAGATTATAGGATTATTCAACCTTTCTAGTCAGTTTTGATCATTTTACTTTTTTTAGTATCTTGGTACAAAGTTCATGATATTTGTTTTTATCTCTGTTATGTCAGTAATTATGTGTTCTTTCTAGTTCCTAATAACACTTCTTTGTGCCCACTTCTTTTTATGTTGATCACGTTAGAGATTTGCAGGGTTTTTTTAGTTGTGTGTGTGTGTGTTTGTTTTTGAGACAGAGTCTCGCTCTGTTGCCCGGGCTAGAGTGCAGTGGCATCATCACAGCTCACTGCAGCCTTGAACTCCTGGACTCAAGCCATCCTCCTGTCTCAGCCTCCTGAATAGCTGGGACTATACCTGCACACCACCACACCCAGCTAATTTTTTCTAACTTTAGTAGAGACATCTTACTCTTGCTCAGGCTGGTCTCAAACTGCTGACCTCAAGTGATCCTCCTGCCTCAGCCTCCTAGAATGCTAGGGTTACAGGTGTGAGCCATCACGCCAAGCCATTTTTTCGTATTTTCAAAGAACCATCTTGCAGTTTTGATGACCCTTCTGTATTGTAGGTTTGGGTGCTTTTTCATTAATCTCTGCCTTTATTTTATATTTTCTATTTGTCCCACTTCTCAGTTTCATTTCTTTCCCTTTCCTTGTCTTCTTTTCAATTAATCAAGTTATATCTTCTATACACACACACACCTCTTCTTCATTTTTTTTATTTCAGCATATTATGGGGGTACAAATGTTAAGGTTACGTATATTGCCCACATCCCTCTCCCCCCTCAAGTCAGACATCCTTCATTTTTTTCTTCTACAAATTTGGAAGTTTTATGATCTGTTTCTGTTCTTAGTGGATTGATTACTATAAGGATAAAGAAAGGTGAGGTGCCTTTCACATTAGAATGTCTCCTGCCATCTTCTTTCCACCCCTGCTGCCTGCCCTGGGTCATATTCCCACTACCTCCTCCCTGGACTGTTGTATCAGGTGCCTCCTGAGTGGTTTATAATCTCTCCTCCCCAAACTCCATCCCTCACATGGCCCCCAGTCATCTTTCCTTAAGCACAGATACATTCAAGTTGCCCACATTTATCCTTGCAGGCTCTCCAGATTCTGCCAGATAAAGCCCAGATTTCTTGGCATGGCATTTAAGACCCCAACATACTTTTCTTACCTTCTCCAGCTCCCCAGTCACACTCTATAAAGTATACTACCATGCTTGAAGTTTCCAGAACTGGTCCTATACTTTTCCATCATATTTATTTACACATAATATCCTCCCATATCACCTGTCATGTTCCATCCCTAATCTCTACCTGTTCAAATCCTATTAATCCCTTAAAGACCAAACCAAGCCACCTGCCTCACTGTTTCTTTTCTGATTCCCTGGATAAAATTAATACCCACCTTTCCTGTTCCCAGTCACTGTCATCATCACTGTGTAGTCCTGGCATTTTCAGATGACGCGGCCTGTTGTGTCAGGAGATATGTTACTTTCATTGTTAACAGATACATCTGTTTTTCCCATTCAGATCTATGCCCTGAACAGAGTCATGACAGAACTGGAGCAGCAGCAGTTTGATGAGTTCTGCAAGCAGATGCAGCCTCCTGGAGAGTGATTCCCTGCTGTGTTCAAGCTAGAGGGGACCCTGAAGGCTTTGTGAGCCTGTTACAGGTTTTAAGGTGGCCCATTTGGAGCCTTACAGAACTAGACAAGAAGAAATTTGTGGATAAATCTGAACTTACGTTTGTAACTTGTACTTCACATGTTCCTCCAATGTGAACTGGACCCGTGCTTACTGAAGAGACTTGTTTTCTTCTTATAAAACAGTAGATTCTTTTTTTAAAACCTTTTTCTATTGTTTGAGAAAAATCAGTGTTTCTCGTGAAACTGTGTATCTTCTCCAGAAATGCAAATAAAATGTTAATAAAATGTTCACTTCCTCATACTTTAGCAAGTGCCTAGCCATAGAAAGTGGAGTACAAAAGAATGGTAATAGGAAAGTTGAAGGAGTTCTTTCTCCTTCAGGAGCAGGGTAGGAAGGAGAGGAGAGAAAGAACATGACTGCTTCCAATTTTCATGCTTCCTGGGGCTAACGGTCTCCAGATCCTGCTGATCCTAAGTTTTTAGGCACAGAAATATAAATATGTGACTCCTTTTCTCCCAGATGAGCCTCTAGTCAGGGTGAGAGGCTTGAAGCTAGGATTCATCTCACCTGTGATTGTAGCGCGCTGGCAGCGGCTTACACTGATGGAAGGGAGTGCAAGTGCTTTTTTTTTCACTTTTGGGGTTACTTTATCAGGCCTAGAAACAGGTTTGTGATGGCAGTGTTCAGTCTGGTCCCTCAGAAACCAGTCACCCACCTATCCATGTACCATTTTTAGGTGTAAAAATGTAAAAGTTGTTTCTGTTGCAGACAAGTGTCAGGAATGGTAGTTCATACCTGAATGTTAGCAGTGGAGTTATTTTAATGCTTAGCAAGAGGGGAGGTTATTTTTTATTTTTATTTTTTTTAGACAGAGTCTCACTCTGTTGCCTGGGCTAGAGTGCCATGGCGTCAGCCTAGCTCACAGCAACCTCAAACTCCTGGGCTCAAGCAATCCTCTTGCCTTAGCTTTCTGAGTAGCTGGGACTACAGGCATGCACCACCATGCCCAGCTAATTTTTTCTATATATTTTTAGTTGGCCAATTAATTTTTTTCCATTTTTAGTAGAGACAGGGTCTCACTCTTGCTCAGGCTGGTTTTGAACTCCTGACCTTGAGCAATCTTCCCGACTTGGCCTCCCAGAGTGCTAGGATTACAGGCATGAGCCACCACGCCTGGCCTGTTTTTTCAGGATATTTTATTTCCAAATATTCCTCAGGAGTTAGGGGAGAAGGATTTTGGAGAGCTGAATAAATATGGAAATGAGGCAGATCACTCAGATGAGGCAAAAGAGCCAGACACTGCCGCCACCTTCACTCTAAGCAGGAAATGCCTGTATTTTCCCTATGGGTGTTGGGAATAATCTCAAGCTGTCCCCATCTCCTCTGTCTCCCTGCTGCCTCTGAAGTCACTGAGAATACTGTTCCCATTGCTATTTACTCTAGTAAATATTAACTATTATTATTGCTATTATTTTAAATTGAAAGATATATTCAAGAGGAAGATATACAAGAGGAAGGCTAGAGGAGAGAGAACAAGTGAGCTAATATTTATTAAACATCTTTTACATGCCATTCACTATTCTAGGTATTTTACGTGTCATTGTATTTAATCCTGAGAGGAAGTAAATCTAACAATTTATAGATAAGGAAGTGGGTTTTGAGAGATTACTTTACTCAAGGTCACAAAGCTAAAAAAGAGGTCACAAAGTAGAATTCTGTCACGTGGTTCTACTCACCAGACACAGGAGTAGTACCTGAGGTTAGGAAGAGGGGACTAGACGTCGACAAGGAGGAAAATCTACACTCTATCCCAAGCCTAGGACTAGCAGAACTGCTTAGACCCTTCTGACTTCATTTATTCATGTAAGAAGTAGCTTTTTAAAGTAGCTTTTTTTTTAAGTCTTTGTCTTCTCACTTATTCCTAAGAGGAAGCCCAAGAAGAGTTGTTCTATTTTAGAAAACCACTGTCTGAGGCAGCAAAGATATGAGCAGCGTTAGCATCTGAGACCCCCACGCCCAGGCAGAAGTATAGCCATACTTCCAGAGAATTGCATGGAAGCATACATCCCTCTGTTAAATCAAGAGGCTTTCAGCTGACTAGTATCACCAACCTACAAAAAATTGGAGGCAGTGAAGTATGAATTATTATTGTTACAAATAAACTACAATTTACACATCCAAATAGGTATTTTACTTTTCAAAGCAGTCCTCTTGGGCATCTACATATTTATCCTAACTCTGCTGCTGTCACTTAAAATGACATAGCATCTTTTTCCTTTGAACATAGTTTCAAATTTTAGAAATAGCCAAAAGTCATGTAAAAAGAAAAAATCTTAGGGCCACCCCTACCCCCCATTTCCTCATGCAAAAGAGAAGGTAAAAGCCTCAGGTACCTGTGAAGAGCTGGCCCCACAGATGATTCACTAAGGAAATATCTTGCCAACCTCCCATAAGCAAGGACATACAAGTGATACCTGTGTCTAGCATCTAAAGCTAAAGCATGTTTGATTCCACACTAATAATGGATTACAAGTTTATCTTACAGGTAACAGAACAGAAGACAAGACAGAATCAGACATTTTTCCACCTACCCAGGGATACCTACATAATTAATGCTTCCTTTGCGTTATGTAAAATGTAGATTTCTTGGGCCTCACAAGAATGTAACCACTACTTCATTAGCCTTTATGTCGGCTAATGTGTCTAATCTCTAAAGGAAGCAAAAGGCAGAAGACTTGAACTTTTAGGATACAGAATTTTTAAGTTATTATACAAAATCCTACACATATTCAAACTGGGCAACATGGTAGCCCCACGATTAGCTCTGCTCTCAGCCAGAGGCTGCAAGTATAAGAAATACTTTAGGAAGCCCTTCCCACCAGTGGGTAATTATGATCAGGCAGGACTAAGGCAGAGGCCACGCCAGTCCTGAAGGGTTTCACTCCTTTCCAAGGGTCACCCCACTAGTAACAGAGCCAGAACTCAAACCCAGCCCACATTTAGCTTGGGGGAAAAATCTGTTCTTGATATAAACAAGTATTGTTCCCAAGGAGTGAGAACTCTGAATAAAGAGAAAGAAGTGAAAGCCACGGGCCCTACGGTAGGTTATTCTGGTTCCAGGCAGCAGAGACGCCATGTATCCAGCACGTGACGACACAGGTACAAGGAAAGCTTTAGTGAGTATAGGTGCTGACGCGAACCCCGCAGAGGCCGGTGGGAGTTGGTTGAGCTGCTTAGCTTCCTCGGTGCCGTTACCTCAGACAGGCTGCCTTGCCCCACAGAGCCTCTGGTAGGAAGATGTAGGAGAGTGACCACATCAGGTAGTAGAAAGCCATTATAGAGAGTGGGGAGAATAACAGCATGATGACACCTGAAAGAAGAGCAAATGCAGACACTGCAGTCTAAGAAGCTGGCTTGCAGGCTTTCCACCCTCGACTCTCCCACCCTTTGTTTTTCATTCACAGCGCCAAAGAGGCAGACAAAAAAAATACGTACATCAAAAGTATGTGTTTCTAGTTATTTCTGCCATGATTTGTTTGGTGTCTGTCTCCCCTGATAATAAACTGTAAGTTCTGAGGCAGGGACTGTTTGTGCAGTTTACCAATCTGAGTCCGAGTATCCAGAACATGGTCGGTGCTCCCTAAATTTCTGTCGAACTCATTAATAGACAACAAATACTAAGCATCTACTATGTGACTGGCACAGTTATTGGCACTGGGGATTATAGTATGAATAAAAGTCCTCTGTTGGGGGTAAATTTAGTGTTTATAGACAATTTTTTAAAAACCCATCAAGTATATATTATGTGAGATGATGATCAATTCTATGGGGAAAAATAAAGCAGGGTAAGGGCAATAGGGAAGGCCGAGGGGAGGTACAGGTGGCTGTGCACAGCAGTGATAACCCAAGAGTGACATTTCTACTCACCTCCCACATAAACCACTTTTTTCCAGTTGTCAGACTCCAGGATTGCATCATGCGGGTAGTAGCTCTGGTCCATCATGAACAGCACCATGAGTGAGGCCATGCAGCAGAGAATGAATGTGTTGCCTTTGGTCAGAAGAGACATGGAAGCCAAAACACAGGAAGCATAGGGGCAGGGTAGCCCCTTGTATGCTAAGGGAACTCCTGTCAGGGGAAGAAAACTGGGGATTAGCTGCTTCCTCTGCTGTAAGAGACCTAAGTGAAGCAAGCCTCTCTCTTTTGGGTCTTCCCCTACCCAGCATACAAAATTCCCTTAAACCCAGGGGCAGTGGCAGACCACAAATCATTTATTCATAAACAGATGATGCTTGGGTTTCGCATTGGGTTTCCAAGGGAAAGCAGGCAACCAGCTAGGACCAGGGGTGTGCCCTGGCTCATGGGAAGTCTCTGCTGGAAGGGTCCTTTCAGATCTGCTAGTCTAAGCCCTGTGCTGCACCTGATCTCCCTCAGTTTGTGACGTTAGCTAAGGCAACTGCCTTCCCCAGAGCATGGTTTCTCTGTCTGTCTGGGGGGAACAGGAGTACAACCTCGTTCTAGAGTCCACTCTAGAATTGATGTGTTTCATACCAAGTCACGGGTCCACGCAGTGAGAGGAGGTACAGCTGCTCCAAGAAATGAGGCCCTGCCTCCCAGACCAGGGCTCTGCAAATGCAGCCTCCAGCCTCCAGTGGGCAGGGGCATGGGGCATAGAAGAGGGAAGGAAGAGGGACTCCAGAAAAGGAATCAGTTACTACACCCAGGCTCCTGCCATCTGACAGCCTTTCCGTTCGTGGTGGTCCCCTGCCCTCGGTCCTAAGGCTACCTGGGTTCCACTCACCAGTTGAATAAAAGCACAGGCGGAGAGAAGTAGCTGACACATAGATGATTGTTAGCAACCCGTTTAGAAGCCCGTTCGCACCTAGGAGCAGGGCTGAGGCCAGGCCAAAGGTGGTGAAGACAGAAAAGTCATTCAGCTCAGCTCCTGCCCCAGAGGGCCCAAGGTTAGAAGAACTTACACTCCTAAATCTTGCACCTTAACCCCCCCCATGAGGGGAGCTGCAGCAGTGACAAGTGGGTTTGGGGGTCCCAGAGAGCAACAGCTGCTTCCCAGTAGACTGGAGTCCCTCCGGCTCGGCCTCAACCCAATTTCTGTGGCCTTGGACGAGTCGTTCCTCTCTCAGGTCTCCTTTCCCAGCCCTTCACATGCAAGGGTTGCACCACAATCGGATGCAGTTGATGAGCAGTGGAGCCCTTTTTTCAAGCAAAATCTTACCTGGAAACAATTTCCTATATTCTAAAGCGGCTGCTCTGCTTGGGTAGTTTTTCATCTCCTCCCCCCAACATTCCCACTGCAGTACCTGGATCGGCCCAGAAGAGGGGCGGGCAGGTAAGGAGACTGAGAGCAGGACAAGGACTGGCCAGCGGCAGTGAGAGAGCTAGCGGGGGAGCTGAGCTGGCCTGGACGGTGGGCTCCCTAAACTCCTGCTCCAGGATGTATCTGCCGCTCTCAGAGGATGTGAACAGGAGAGGGTGATGATGAGAGCAAGGGCTGCAGGATGCTGGAGGATGGAGGGTGACCTGAGACAGATGCTCGTTGGGCAGGGATGGGGGCTGGGGCCTGGACTCACCGATCTGGAACAGATGCTGACGTGTCTGGTCATTGTCCTGATGGTTATGTCTACCAAGGAAGCGACCAGAATCATCCAGGAGGCACAGTGGGATTTTCCTACAGTGCAAACAGCAGCCCCAACAGGACAGCTCTTTTCATGGTGTCCCCTGGACAGCCACTCCACTGCCCCATCCATGAATGCACTTCCCACACTTGCACGCATACACACACCCTGCACGCCTCACCTCACAACCTTCGGTATATACTGTTTTACACACCACCACACACCACACACACACACACACACACACACGCCTATATACTCACATACTCTTAACCCACAGTCTTGAAGGGGTGTCCTGAACCCTAGGTAATCACTAAGGTCCCTTCCAACTCTAAATACCAGACATTTTTGACGCACAGGGGTCTTTAGTTCCACCTGGCCTCGTACCACCATCTCCCTGTGAATTCTAAGATAAATCACACCTGCCTCTCCAGGCCTCTGTTCCTCCACATGTCAAATGAGGGGTTTGTGCTAAATGATTTCTTTAATGTATACCTATTCAGATGATCTGCTTCTCCTTGTATGAGTTTGGTAGCTTATGTCTTTAAGGGAATTGATCCTTTTCATCTAAGCTATTATCTTTATGGGCAGAGAGTTGTTCATAGTATTCCTTATTACCTTGTCATTTCAAGCCACTAGGATCAGTAGTGATGGCCCTTCTTTCATTTCCTGTATATTGGTCATTATGTTCTCATCTTTTTCTGATTAAGCCTGTCTAGAGATACCAATTTTATTGATCTTTCAGAACCCCAGCATTTTGGTTCATTATTCTCTATTAATTCCCTAACTTTGATTCCTTGATTGCTAATTATATTTATTTCTTCTTTTTTTTCCATTGCTTTGGAATTTAGTTTGTTCTTCTTCCAATACCTTTCCTGAAAAGTTGAAAGCCTACATTACTGATTAGATCTTCTTCTTTTCTAAAATACATTGCTATAAAAATTTCCCCCAAGCCCCTGCTTCCCTGCATTATTCCAGTAAATTTTCTTTTTGAAAACAGAGTCTTGCTCTGTCAACCACCCGGCTACAGCTGCAGTGGTATGCATCATAGCCACAGCAAACCTCAATACTCCGCTGAGAGTTCTCCTGCTTCAGCCCTCCCCAATAGCGGGACTACAGGCAGTGACAGCTACCACCCCCCGGCTCAATTTTTTCTAATTTTTTTTAGCAGAAGAGCAGGGTCTCCACTTGCTCCACCTAGGTCCAACTCTGACTCCAAGCCAAGTCCTCCTCTGCCCGGGCCTCCCCAGAGTGGTAGATACAGGTGTGACGCTCACCCTGGCCCAGGCCCCAATAAATTTGATAAG